CGGGGTGGCTTTTCTCGGCAGTAGTGCTGGTTTATGCCGCGTTCAAGGGCTTGGCTGACTTGTTAGTTGATGAAGATACAGTGTAATGACAGGCCTAGGAGTTAGGCTTGTTTTGGACTAATAAGCAGGTTATTGAAGAGCACGTGTGTCAAATCTAAATGTGGCTTGGCCTTTCTTGCCTCTTTGACACACTTCTCTATTATGCTGGACACTGTATTTGTGCTTTCTGCTTAACACTAGTTGGCCTAATATAGGATATTGTTTTTGTCTACAAACCTGATTTCCCGTAGTTCAAAAACAAAACTAGATAATTATATTCTAGTAAGTTTGTGGAGAGACTGTAGTTCAAAACTTAAAACTGATGAAAGGCCAGATCTAGATCTGGCAGATAGACCTGGAAATACTCCCTGTTTTGACAACGCAGTTAGCTATTTGAGGAAGGAATTAATGAAATGAATCCTGTGTTTAATAGTATGTGGCACTGGATTCTTCATAAATAATTAATGGAGGAGATACTTTAATCGTAACATAAGCATAACTGAGTAAAGTCTAGCTAAATAAAGATTTATATTTCCCTTTTCTGGTCTTAAGTTTCCAATATGTCTGTCATTGACTCTCTATACTGTACGTAATGGTTGGTTGTGAGTATCAGGTTCTGAACTTCAAACCAGTCAGCTAAAAGGTAGTGACCTAAGTGTGTGCAGATTTTTTTTTCTTGTTAATTTTTTAATTTATGTCCTTAATGTAACAAGTATTTTATATTTTTGTCTATATTTTAAGGCATAATGTTTTTAACAACAGTATTACTCCGAAAGAGAATTCCTGGAAAACAGTGGATTGGAAAATACAGATTTTTAGAGCGGTTACTCTTTCAATGAAACAAGCAATGATCCGAAGGCTGGAAATTGAAGCAGAGAATGAATATTGGCTGAGTCGACCTTACCTGACGCGGCAACAGGAGTACAAACATAACACAGAAGAGAGACGTGCAAGATGGGAAGCTTACAAAAGGCTGATGACAGCCAAGTTCCCTGAGCATAGATATATGAGTGATCATTTAGACCACTTAAATGTGACAAAAAAGTGGGCATCTTGAATAATACGGTGCATTTATAATTGGCATGTATTATGCACTACCGTGGGATCTGCTGTTGTACCTATTGTGGTAGTTTTGTAATTCAGTAAGGGTAGATGACAAATGAGACTTTGTTACGGTATACAAAATCTTATAATAAATGCAGTCCTACAGAACAGTGTGTGTTTTCTTATTGTTGTCTCTTTAGAAAAAAGACAGGGATTTTTTTTCTGTGGCTCTATACCATCTGCTTGCCTTCTGTTCTTCAGGGATTTTCCGTAACTCAGCGTGAGTTACCGAGTGCAATGATGATGATTTGAACTAGACTTATAGCTTCAATAATTTCCCTTTGAAAGCTAGAATGCACCTGCTCTTTTGAAAGGGATTATGTGCTAGTACTGACCAGATTGCTCTTACCGGTCCCTCTCCCTGCTGAAGGGACACTAATGTGAGACACAACTCATGGTGCTTACACAGTGCTCACTTCATCAGGCATACAAAGACCAAGATGAACTAGAATTGCAAAGTTAGGTGTATGAGGCTGGAACTCACAGAAGATTGTAAAATGTTCTGGTTCTAAACTTTCTGGAAGGAACTGCTGAATTTAAATGCCAGCATCATTGTCACGTCTGTGTCAACTTGGGTGTTACTGCATTCTCTTACAAAGCTTATTTCTGATCTAAAAGGAACACAGCTGAGTGGCGATCTGATTTCTAAGTTATGTTTAGTGTCCTGAAGGAATATAGTCAGCCTCAGTTAGAGTTTTTATTATTTCCCCTCTCAAGACCAAGTGACCTGGAGTGAGGTTTGTTGCAGCTGGAGTGTAAAACAGTTGCGAAGTGTTTCCGGATAGGCAGTTTTTCTCACTGATCTAATACACACACGCTACAGTTCAGCAATTTTCAGATTCTTTCACATACTTTTATTAAGTTGATGTTGCATTCACTGATCAATTCAAGTGTCAAGTCCATTCATATTTTATCACTTTGGAAAAGAGGCCTAAAATGGTACAACTTTTTTATTTAAACATGAATTATACTTCAGAGAAGTACGAACAGGTCTGAACACTGATGTATAAAATCTTGAATGCACTTTCAATGGTTATAAATGGCTTAAGATAACATTTATGGAAAAGTATACATAAGGGGAAATTGCACAATACAATTAAAACATGAAGGAACTTCCACGCAAAGCAATGTGAATTTGTATTTAATTCATTTATAAAAGCCCATTTTAAAAAGTTACTTCAAGTATTAAACTATAAATGGCAACATGTTTTCTCTGTGCATAGGACTAGTCCTATCTGTAACATAGAAAAAATAATAGTGTCATTATTACATACACATTTTACGCTTTACCTCAAACTTAAATACAGCTCATTACAAGTTTAGGCAGCACAATTAGAAAAAACTATGGAAGCAGAACAGCTGGGACATTGTGATTAGTGCAAATGTTGATGACCCTTGCTGGCAAATACAAAAATAATTGCAGAGATAATCCAGGGGTGTTTAATTCATCCAAGTTAAGAAGGGGACAGGGAGAAGGGGCAGATTTTCACCAGTGGGATTGCTGCCTCTTTCTGTGCTATTTTTGATTGTAAATTGCCGTTCAGAAAGATACAAGTTTCTCACAATAAAGCTGATCACAACAGGTTAAGGGACAGGAGAAATCAGAGAGAAACACGTTAAGCATCTAAGTTGTCAGCCAGGCAATGTAAACGGAAGGGAATCTGCCCACCACCATTAATGCTTTGGTGCCAATAAAGGTGGTCCCAATGCTTCATCCCAACACAGCCACTGGACCGCTGAGCATGTGCTCTCTGTCTCTTGGGGCAGGGGATGGGAAGAAAGATGGGGAAACCCCCCCCAGAATAAAGAAAGCAATCCTGTAAACATTATCAGACTTCACTACCTAATGAAAACAAGATTCAAGTAATTGCTGCAGAAAACAAACGGCCAAACACCAGTTTTAATGAGCATTAAAACTAACTACAACTTGCAGCTTTATTACATTTCATGGCAGTTATGTAGTTAAGAAAAATGCATATAAAAAGCTGTCTATATATACAAAATAAATTGATAGAAATGAGTGTAATAAATGTGTTCAGTATTGTAACAAATCACTTTATAGGCAGCTGCTCTCTTTGGTGCCATTTAGGGATAGAAGAGCCTCTGCCATTGCATACCTAGCTATTTTTTAGGTACTGTGAAAGATGTGTTCTTGATCTGCGCTGAGTTAAAGTAGCCGCTCTTTGGAGCCTCTGTAAAAGCATACCTGAATCCCCCAATTATGTACAATTTTAGACGGTGTCCTCAAAGAACATATACTATGAAGCTCAAAATTTGGGTGGTTTGTTTTGGCTTTTTTTTTTTTTTTTAGTTTTTAATAAATATGGTCAGTCAGTGCTTCAGATCTAGGCAGATCTGGTTAATTTATGTTAGAGTCAGTGCATCTCTTGGTACATCTGCCAGACACCAGCGCTGCTGCAAACGCTGCTTTTTCCTTCCTCTTGGGGCTCTGGTGAGCTACACCCAGACCATACTTCAGCTAGATCAAGAAATTCTTCGAGTGCATATTGAATGGTATTGAACTTAACCAAACTTTCCAAACCCCAAAAGATTGTTTACAATACAGAAAAGCCACACAAGATCAAACAAGGGAAGAAGCAGTACCTGAAAACTGAAGGCATTTAAGCACTCTGGAGAACAGGACCAGTTTGTAAGAAGAGCATACCAAAAGCAGCTCGGTACCTGCGAATTCCACACTCAAGGGACAGCTTTAACAAAAATGTTACCATAATTTCTACACAAATTGCTAAAAATAAAAGTGCCTGAAGTCCCTCTAGAACAACCCTCTGAATATTTAAAGTGGAAATTTTCAATCAAAGGCTTATGATGCATCTAACTTGTGACACTGCAATCTTGGGATAATACTGTAGGAAATGAGTTATGACAGAAACCTACACCTCTTCCTGCCCTCCTCCCATAACATGCCTTTGGTAGGAGCAGCAATTATGTGTATGTTGTACAGTCTGTGAATAAATCATCGTAAGGAAAACACCCCAGTATTAGCTGCGTAGTTTTACGTATACTTTTCTATTTATGGATTTCCTTGCCTCATCTTCACCGGAACAGGTTTATCATCTTAAGACATTTCAGAAATCTGGAGGAGAAACCACACTGAAATCTTGCCCTACGTCAGGCTTCTGTCTTCACGCTGGGAGTTTAATGTCATTTTGTGTGCATGACTCGTGTGTGTATGTGGATTATTTTTTTTTAAAGAAAAATGCAGTAAGAAATACTAAAGCATAGTTTGTAATTGCAGCCAGTGTCAACTATCCCACAGTAACTACAATACTATTTATGGCTTGCAATAGTAATTATTTGGATGGCTCTAAAAGCTTCAGGGCTGTTGTTTTTAGTGACGATCTAGGTATTTTCAAGGCTTGCTGATACAGAGTAGGTTAAAGCACAAAACCAGCACATACATGACCCAGTACTCTAACTAGTCGTTTTCTCAGGATCAGCCTCCCTTTGGACCTCCTGAACAGGCAGGGCTCCTCCATTCACTGGAAGTTTTCCACTCTTCAGTGCATGTGCCAAAAGGACCTATTTCCTGGAGCACCCCTACAGCCCCCCTGCCTCTGCTGGGAGCCATACCCAAGTCTGCTTGCAACTCAACAACCAAACAGCTGTTTGTCCTCACCAACTCACCAAGGAGGGCTTGCTTCCTCCTTTTGCATAATCCACTCTTTGATACAGCACAGAGTGCCCTTGCTTACGGCTAGGGACCTGGCAGGGCAGAAGTCTGAAAGACAGAAGATGTTGTCCTGCTGCCTTAGACGTGATACCTCCTCTGCAGCCAGGGCCTGCCTGGAAAACCTGACTCCCCATCCCACTCACTGGTGGGCCCTTACAGTTCATCAATACAATTCCCTTAAAGAACTTAATTCCTTTCTATCAGTATGGGATTTCTCTTGGTAACCAGTTCTCCAGGGGGAAAAAAAGAGGGGCAGTGAGGTTGGGGGTGGTGAATGTGGAAGAATCATGTTTGAATAATTTTACTACGTTTCATATTTGTGAAATTGACTTTTCAGTAATGCCTGCTTTTACACCAACAGAAACTCTGAGTTATCCTAACTCAAGAGTATCCTAAGCATACTGCTCTCCTCCTTTTCTCAACTGAAACATGAGAAAAGTCTGGGACAAAGTTTACCTGTGGTCTGCGTAAAGATGTCAGAAACATCAGCTCTTCATGAAAAGCCACAAAAATGTCCATCAGATGTACAAAGAACAGGTTTCAGAAGACCAGCACTTGCTACAGAACACACAGGGATTTAGCTCAGTATGTTTACTTGCAGTTTTTCCTGTAGATCACCTATCCTGACTTAAGAAATCAAACAAGTTATACTGATGTTAGCCTACAGTATATATACATTCATATGGGGGTATATTGAGCACTTTGGGGGTTTGCGGGGAAAGAGACCATATTGCTAAATCAGTGATATTTACCATATTAGAGACCTAGATTTTGCTTATAGTTCTGCTAGACAATGACTGTGCATGTGTTACCTCAGCTGTAATACACAGATGCAGTAAAAGCCAGATGATATCCTGGGCCCTCCGTTACAGCTGCACCAGTGTTTGGGGCTGCAAATATTGGTCTTCAGAACAGGCCATTTGAACTTGCAGTCTTCTGTCTCTCTGGTCTTCCCCAAGAAACGTTGCTGGTGCAGTACTGCTGAGGGGTTATATTCAGATGAGCACTTCTCACTTGATATTTGAGAAGAAAAAGCTGAACCTTTCAAGATTAATGTGTAGCAAATGTTTTCGTAAGTTTTGAAATTAGCAAATGCAAAATCTGTTGTGCAAAGTCTGAAGAAACAATCTGCAACTTTTATACTTTGGACTATTCCTTCTGTCTCAAGAACATCCAACAGTGGCCGAATCATGTTCATACGTTCTCAAAGTGTTCTTGTTCAAAAAGATAAAGAAAAATTCATTCTTTCCAAAGACAAAAAA